GAATATAGTTCTAGGTGATAGTTGTTGTTTTGTGTAGTTGTTGTTGATTTCTCAAAATACAGGGGTTTTCACTCTTGCCTCCAGATGAAACCTCCACACCCCCTGTCCAAGAACGGAGATTCGGAGGTAGTTCGAAGGAGCGAGGTCGGTTGAGCTTCTGATCCCTGTTCATTAATTCTTCGCTGACGTTTACCCTTGTTGTCATGTAGAAGATTTTTGCCAATTTACGCTTTTTATGCTTGATAGAACGTAAATAGGTCTTATTTTTGTGACTTGATCCACGGGGAAATACATTCACCGCCCTGAATACATGTTACTCCTTTCACCCTTTTAATCATAATTAAGTTTGGATACGGAATGTTATAAGTCGTTGAAGTCGTTAAAACTGTGATTTATTTTTTATCAAATTTTAAGCCTTTTTTGGCACTTACCTTGACAGATCAACTTCCATTGCTATAACCAACACGAAAGTTAAGTATTATATATTTATATTTGTGAATGGTCGAAAAGGGTTGGTTGTCGGACGAGGGGGTGGTAATAAGTCCAGGCATCTAATCCCCGGCTTAGAGAGCGTTGACCATGTTAATAATGCCAATGTAACTTAAACCCCCCTCATCAGCTAATGGACACTGGCCAACGTTTCCTACTCCACTAACCCTTTATGCATACTGATTATACGCGCATGAACTAAATTTAATATACTTCATTATCCCAGTTAGGTAATGGACGTTCTAAATCTTAAGTACATTCTCGGATTAAGTCCATAAATATTACACCGGGATTTAGGCTAATTACACTGTTTTCGCTATGGCTTAACGATTACGGGAGGAACCCAAGTCGAAGGCGGTTCCGAGTTTTAAGGGAAAGACCGTAGTAATGCCCTTTTAAGTTAAATAACAATAACAACAAAAACATGTAACAGGAAAAAATCACACCAACCCCCAATTAACTGGCCAATTTTGAGTAGAAGAGTAGAAATCAGTTATTTTAGAATAGGCCATAGATGGATCGACATCAATTATCCTGGTCCGCGTGTTCTCGCTATATATATTTTTTTTTTGCAGAAGTCAGCAAGTCGAAACGTTTCATACAACGGCCGATTTGTTTTGTGCTTTTTTTTTGTCTAAAAACACGTAATAAGAGTTGAAATCAGTTATTTTAGAATAGGCCATAGTTGAATCGACATCAATTATCCTGGTCCACGTGTTCTCACTGTATTTTTTTTTTTTTTTGCACAAGTCAGCATGTCGAAACGTTTCATACAACGGCCGATTTGTTTTGTGCTTTGTTTCGTCTAAAAACACATAATAAGAGTAGAAATCAATTATTTGAGGTGCCATAGCCTAATCCCCCAAAACATCATGGTCTCCTTGTTCTCGCTGCAGTTTTGGCCATACAATGACCGATTTGTTTTGTATTCTTGGTTTTTTCTTAGCTTGATCATTCTGGTCCGCCTGTTCTCGCTGCTCTTTTGGCCAGAGTTTCCGGAGGGAAACAACTGACTGTGTCATCATCTGCAGTGCATGTGTACTTAAATTATTTATAGTCTATAGACTATAGGCTCTTCCTACAATTGCCGATAAGGGATTTGTGGCAACTTAAAAAAAGGGTCAATTTGAACCATATCGGTGTTGAAACTAGGCGACTCTGGATTTCGACAAAAGGGTGGATTTTTTTTTTTTAAATCAGAAAATGGGTGAAAAATGAGAGAAAATGATACTTTGCCTTCTTACAACCAATCTACTTAATTACATATTTCTAAGTGCTGTGTACTTGTGCTAAGTACTTTCTGCTGTAAATATTTATTCAAAAACTTTCCACAATGAATGAGAACATTAAGATTTAATAATATTTCATAAGTGAGGAGGTCAAAAAAAGAAAGAATTTATCAACACAGCAGAACCATTCAAGGTACATAAAAGTATTAACCTCAAAATAAATTGGCAGATTGAGCCAACATTTCATCAGTGCTGTTTTTGTGAGTAAGAAAAGAAACTTTATTTAATTTTAAGGACTGTTTGTCAAAATTTTATTGGGTTTTTATGGAAAAACTGTTTCATGGCCGAGTGTTGTCTTGTCTCGGGGGTGATCTTTCGGCGGAAAATTTCGTACTGTGAAAATTACAGAGGATGGGGTAGGTTTGTACGTTTGAGGGCATGGCGAGGGGCGTAATCAGGGACGACGGTGGAGAGGGGCTGCAGGTGGTCGTCCCATGCTTTCACACTGATTAAACTGGAAATCGATCTTTCAAGCTCCCTTAGCTCTATTTATTTATTAACACTCAACAAATTAAGTTTTTAGGCCGATGGAGGGGAGTAGGAAAAAAACATTTTTCCCTCTGTTGGATGGTTTTTATTTTATAAGTTGACAAGACAGTAGTGATGAGTTGATTACGCGAATACGCGGCTTCTGACGAAAGGCTGGATAAAAAAATCAGCAAATAAATTCAATGGTTAAAACAAATCCATATTTGGTAATTGAGATCCTTTTAAACAGTAGCATCATCCACAGTGAACCTGTACTTAAATTTAAAGTCTACGGGCTCTACCTAAAGTTGTCAATAAGGGCTTGTAGGTACTTAAAAAAAGGTTAATTTGTAATTGTAGGAATATATATTGTAATGGCAAAGGGTATACAAATTTGAAAACCAAGCCAATCTATGGGTGAAAAAATGGAACTTCGTCTTTTTTCAACCAATCTTCTTAACAGCACACTTCTATTCACAGTAATAAATCCTACTTATTACTGTGAATACCTTCCGATAGAAAAGTCTGTCTATCTACAAGTGAGAGTACTATGTGTCCTATGTTAAACAGCTGCGAACTTTATCTGATATTTCATAAAACTAGTGGAATAAAACAATGGGTTTGAAACATATCGGGATTGAAAGTATACGTGGAAAGAACTGGCTTATGACGAAAGGGCGTATATTAATTAGAAAATCAGCAAATGGTTCAAAAAATGGAACATTGCTTTCTTCCAAAAAACTACTTAATTGCATACTCCTAAGTACTACTTACTGCGGAGAAAATTTTACGCTAGAAAAACTTAGCTTTCCACAAATGAAGCGTGTGGGTTGAAGTAGACGAAAGGGTAGATAAAAAATCATAAAAAATAAAATTAATGGTGCAGCTCGTGTTTTTAACAATGTACCATATGTTGATTTGCATAGGGGTTGTATAGTTTGGGGCTAATACGTGGAAAGATATAGATTCTGACGATAGGGTGTAAAAATTAGAAAACCAGCCAATCAATCGGTGCAAAATGGAACTTCTTTCACCTGCCTTCTTTAAAGAGGGAATAAGTAACTCTAAAATATATGCAAGCAGATGGGCACAGCCGAACCATTTCCCGCACGAAATACTTTTCGACCCGGTATCTAGTGAAAGGTAGGCACAACTGAGGGCCCATGCAGTGGGATATGGCCAAATACAAGGAAAGTGACACACTATCATATGGGCACAAAAGCGAATTCCATGCCCTGATGACGACGTACTCTCACACTAAACCGGGGGTTCAAAGACGCCAGAGGGTTTGGATTGCGCTGTATACAAAGAAGGTCAGGTCGAAATTATGTCCCTTCCCCCCACAGCGAGAGTACACCGCGGAATTGAATGCCACTCGCACTGGGCGTAATACATCGAAACCAGAAAAACCTTTATAATATGCACAGATTCGCTCAGTGCCGTCTCAGAACTCAGTAGAAAAGCCTCCGTGGATCAACTAATAAATAAAATATATGAACAATTAAAGGGGATCAATGCTGATGGGAAGAAGGTCGTGCTGGTCAGGATTCCCGCGATAGCCGGGCATGAAGAAGCAGTCAAAGCGGCTAAAGAGGCCGCATCAGCGCACGGACCACCCCATCCTGTCCGCGCAGCAGATGTGGTAAGTTTAATGAAAAATCATGTAAAAGAAAAATGGGAAAAACCCTGGGCACAGACTTCTGCCAAATTACGGCAGATAAAGATTGGCATTGGTCCCTGGTCCACGTAGGCCGGGTCGAGAAGGGAAAGGTGTGTACATACCTACGCATATATCATACTAGGCTTACACATGGGCACTTGCTGGCAGGAAAGAGTCCGCGCCGATGTCCTATGTACCGAAATATTAACCGTTGAGTACAATGCAGAAAACTAGAAGCCTGCAGGATGAACTTCGGAGTCCATGCTGACCTAAAGGGGGCCTTAAGGCACGACAATGGGCACGGATCGCTGTTTCTGTGCCTCACGGTTATAAGAGTTCTTAAATGTATATAGTATGCCTTTATGTGTTGTATGTTATGTATTGGTGCAGATGTAAATTATTAGTGAAAGAAGGGATTATCCCCCACGAGTACTCTGGGGTGAGAGTGTGTTTTCTGAGGAGTGAAAGTAATTTATTAGCGCGAATGAAGGGTTTAAACCTGCCTCTAGGAATATCGAGTATTCGGGCTTGTCTTGTTACAGGAGGTGACAGGACGTTGGCGTCTTCGGAATATCCAGTACCACGACGCCGGATTTGCGTTCCAACTTTTTCGTTGGGGGGGTGCTTTTTCGGGGGCGTTGTCTCCTGGCTCTTCACCGGAGCATTGCAGGGGGTTCGTCTACCGACTGTCCGGGTGTTTCGGCGAGGGCAGAGCTCCCGTCGCTAGCGGTGTTTCCGGGGTGGGTGGGAAGCGTGAAAATCTTTATGTGTTATGTTTTTCTTGTACTTTAAATAAAAATTTGACAACCTGAGATACTTTTGAGAGGTTAGCTAGATAAGAAAACAGGAGACAAAATATGACAGTCAGTGACAAAGAGATGACCACTTGAAGCTTGTCGGCCCGTAAATAAATAATTAATAAATAATAATAATATATGTAAGAAAAGTTTAACTTTTTACAAATCAGAGAATCATGATATAATATTTTCATGAGTGATGTAGTTCAACGAGCAATTAAGCAGGTGTCGATTCAAGTCTTTTTGCTTAATCAAGCCTTAAAACTAAGGAAAAATAGAAAACAAAATAAATCTTACCAGAGTTGGAACCTTCGTTGTGAAGTAGGCTGTTGTTATTGGATATATTTGTATTGTTATTGTTATTTTCACCATTGGAAGCTTTTTCCAAGACTTCGTGATCTTCTTTACAAAACAGTCCATCCTCTCTAAGAGCGAATTCGTCGCCAGGTATTAATTGACGTTCACAAGCTGAACACCTAAAGCACTCTATGTGGTAAATTTTCGTCTTTGCTCGCATGACGAAATCGTTTTTGCTGAAGCTAAGACTGCACTTGTCGCACTTGGTCCCAAACAGTCTGAAAAAGAATAAAAGACCTGCTCAAGTTCAGTGGGTAAGTCTTGTAAGACTGAAAAATCAGAATATAGGTTCATTAGTGGTTTTGAAAGGATGAATCGAGCCGAATTGTATTTGCCGGGCAAAAAAAAGCCGGGTAAAACGTCGAGTTGTATGTCTGTGTTTACTATTCCTGTTTTGCTATATTTAGACAAATATTGGCCTGGGCGGAGGAAGGGTGTGTTTGTTTTTGTGGGTGGTCCCCCAACGTGTTTGGACAGTCTTGTATTACCAGCCGCTCTACCTCTTCTGATGGATATCATTTGGCCGACAATTTTAGGAGTCATAGTTCGCATCCGGGGACCGACGTGGAAACCATTGGATTCGCCAACAGTCACGAAAGCAGATGTGAAATCTCTGGCACTCGTGGTTTTTTTTTAAATCAGAGTATCAACAAGTTAAAAATTATGGTAATTTTTTCTGTAGATGCAATAAGACAAGAAGTATGCTATTATTGATAACTAAAAGGCACAATACAACATAGATGGCATATGAGAAATGCTAAAATTTAAATAAGGCATGCAATGGTTTAAAAAGAACAAATTTCAAATATATCTCCCAATGTTTCAGTTAAGGCAATATCCTGTTTTATGAGGTTTCTTTGGGAACTTCTTCTGACCGTTTTAGCAATTTTCCTTCGACTCGACAGTGTAAAATTGGATTGATCCAGGAAACGCGATTCTATAGATGTAACAGAACATTTTCCCAATTTGATTAAATTATCCAAATTTTTTTTGTTAAAATACGCTTATCTTGTTTTAATCTAATCAAAAGCACTCTAAAAAGAAGGGGAAAATTTTAAAATTTTAAGCATTATCGCGAATATGGGATATTGGACAAATTTTTTGTTAAGCAAGAATGTCTTGAAATTTTTAACTTTAAACAAATCGTACTCAAACAACTGCGCCATTTTAACGAATCAAACCGACAATTATTTGTCTGAACTTTGATTAACAAGAGCTTCTGGAAATAAGCTAAGCTCAATAATCCGTTAAGCTAAAGTGGTAAATTGTGTCCTCTTTTGTAGTCTTTTATTTTAAAAGATGGTGAATATAAGAAAAATCAACCAGGCGACAAAGGGAAAGTGGACATGCAATGATAAATCCGGCCAGACAATCTAAGCTCGTTAATCCATTGGATTAGGTTGACCAGTCTTTAATTGCGATTCAACTCTTTGCTGAAATCAATCACTTCTAAATTTTAAACTTGTTTTAAAAAATTTCCTAGCACATAGTCCATGTTAAAAAAATGTAGATTCCATATTCTCACTAGGGCACATAGGGTTGTTAAGCCAGGGAAAGTTCGATGAATTGCGGCATACCAAATTGCCAAAGGGTTAGCGCAGAAGCTAACTGCACAACTACTAAACCTAGGACGTGTGGCCGAAAATCATAGTGGGACTGCACACTCCGCGCTATTTATAGACCCGGATCTGCAGAAACAATGTGCAGGTATTGCCAAGAATAAGAAGAAACAGCGTACGTCCTCTGTTGGTGCGACCATGTAGGCTGAGATACTCCTGGAAGAGAAAAAGCCAAGGCCTGAAGAACTGGGTATAATAATAAAATAAAATAATTGGGACCTGATAAAAAGCATCAACCTCACGAATAGCTCTTGATAATACCGCTCCAAGTTAAAAATAAAGAAAATAAATCATGTATGACTAGATACTAAGATAAACACGAAGAAAACAGACAAAAGGCTTTTGATATAAACAAAAACTTGTTCTGAATGTTTTCTTTTTTCCGAGAGACTTAATTTTACAAGTTAGAACATTAGAGAACATAAAATAGAAGAAAGTGATGAATTCATTTTTTTAATGGTAAAAGAATAGAAAATAACAGAGACAACAAGCTTTTGAAATGGCAGAGTAAACTTTTCTGACGATTTCCTTTCCTTCAAAAGCACCAATTTAACAATTCAAAACGCAACCGAACGAAAAAAATGCTTTCCCGGATGAAATTGATTGATAAATAAATAAATTAGGGTATTTTGTTTAAAGGACCATTAGCAGAGACCATAAGATTTTTTGATAGACAAAACCTTTTCTACACTTTCAACTTAACAAGTAATAACCCAACAGAACACAAAATGCTACTTTTTGTATTTTCCTAGAAGAAAGTACATAACGAATAAATGAAGTATTTGGGTTGTTTTTGTTAAATGAGAAAAAAATGATAGCTGAGACAAGCTTTTCGATCGCTAAAAGCAAGCTTTAATTTAACTAGTTAGTAGCCGAACAGACTACAAACAGGAATTTTTCGTGCATTCCAGGAAGAAAGTGATGAACAAATGAAGTAATTCTATTCTGTTTTTAAATATGAAAAAAAAAAGAATGACAGAAACAAACACGCTGTTTCTATTTTTTCGAAATCTCTAATCTAGCAAAGTTAGAAGCCAAACAGACCACAAAAAGCAATTTTTGTGCATACCCGGGAAAAATTCATAAATAAAAGAAGTGATTCTGTTCGGTAAAAAAAAAATTAAAAAAGAAAAGCAGAGAACAGCTTTTTGATTGAAAAAGCTCTTTACATCTTCAAATTAACAAATAAAAATATTAAAAAACCAATTTTTGTGCCTTCCCGAAAGAAAGTAATGCATATATGATATAATTGTGCCCTTTTGTTAAATAAAATAAATGAAGAAAAAAAGAATAACATAGACAACCATCTTTCTGATTAAAAAGTAAACATTTTCTAATTCTTATGGATCTTCAGTTTAACAAGACTTGCCCAGAAAAAAGTTTTGATTAGATGAAGGAAATCCTCTTTTTTTTTAAAGAAAAAAGTAAAATAACAGAGAGAACAAGCATTATAAATGTAAGAGGGAAGAGGTTTCTGACTCTTTCCTGTTCTTCTACTGCCTCAATTTAACAAATCAAAACCTACCCGAAATGAAAAAGTGTCTTGAAGGAAGAAGGTGATGAATACATGAAGGAAATACCTATTTAAGAAAGAAAAAAAAACAACAACAGCAGATAGAGGTTGTTTTTGATTGGTAAAAGCAAACATTTTATATTTTTTCCTAAAGCTTCCATTTAACAAGGCAAAAGAATAGAAAAAGAATCCTTTCGTTACGTATTAAATACAAAAGAATAACAGCTCCTTTTTGTATTTTCCCAGAAGAAAGTACATAATGAATAAGTGAAGTAATTGTGTTTTTTTGTTAAGTAAGAAAAACTAAAGAAAAAAGAATAACAGAGACAACAAGCTTGTTGATCGGTAAAAGCAAACTTTTTACATCTTCAATTTAACGAGTCAGAACCACCAGAAACCGACCACAAAAAGCAATTTTTTGTCTCTTCCCGGTGGAAAGTAATAAATAAATGAAGTAATTGTGCCCGTTTTGTTAAATAAGAAAAGACATAAATAAAAGAATAACAGAGACAGCAATCCTTTTCATGCCAAAAAGCAGAATTTTCTGTGTTTCTACACCATCAATTCAAAGTTGATGCATCTTTCCCAGAAAAAAGTTTTGACTAGATGAAGGAAAACTGTTTTTTACGAATTTTACTTGACTACTTCCTAACTAGGCGGACTTCACACGAAAAAACACTTTTAACACTTCTAATAAGTCAATAGAATTTTTTAAATTTAAAATTTTGATTTCTGAAAAATGAACCTATATAATGATCCATTTATGTGTGGTCACAATTGACCATATTAATTATTTCAATTAATTATTCTTTTTATGTAAGGTCTTGGTTGAGAAGAAAAACTTAGTGTCCCGCTCGTGACACTTTTTCATCTCAATCAAGACTACATAAAAAGACTAAGTAATTGAAATAGCTATATAATGATGTTTTCATATATTGATTAAAAAATTATATGTACTTTTGCACAAAAAAAATATTGATTTGTACACTGAAAGGCAAAAAATTCCATCCAACTGATTTTTTTTTCATTTTCTCGATAAAAGAAAATACCGTCATTAGTTTGTCTCTTTGTTTTTACCAATAAATATTTGTTTATGCTATGTTTTAAATTGGGAATATTAATTAGAGGTAAACACACTTAAACCTTAATCCAAAACAAGGTTAAAGGATTTTTCAACGTTTACTTTTTACGGAATATGTTTATTCAGTCTCATTTGAATTCTGAAGCAATAAACTGTTTAGTTTTCATCTCTGTTTTCTTAATCTCAATTGTTAAATTTAAAAATGCCCTTAGGGCTGAGGATGTTGCGCGTGGTGTGACACTTATTGATGATGGACGTTCCATCCGGTATGCGACTATTGCCATCGCAGTTCTCTACGTAACACTACGAGACGCCGTTAGACGTTTTCGAGAAACTGGGTCCTACCATAGAAGGCCCAGTTCTGGATGCCCTAGGGTAACAGAACCACAGGAAGACAGTTATTGACTTTGAGAATTTTACGAAACCGGCATCTTACTGTTGTTCAAGCGATTCATCAGCTCCAGGAAGTTCGAATTGTCCAAATTACTGAACGCACTGCTCGGACAAGATAAAATCAGTATGGACTGATGGCTTTTCGCCCCGTAAGAAGACCAGAATTGTTCAGAACACACAGAGTTGCACGGCTCGCATTTGCTCGGGAACACAGCCGTTGGTCTTGGACGATTGGTCTGCTGCACTGTTTACAGACGAGTGTAGATTTGCCCTACGATCTCCAGATAGGCGTGAAAGAGTGTGAAGCAGGCGAAATGAAAGGTACGAAACCTGTAATTTTTCCCAGAGCCAACCTTTTCAACGTAGCTCAGTGATGGTGTGGGCGGGAATTGGAATGGAGAGTCGCACAGAGTTGGTTGTTGTTCGTGGAGAGTATTTGTCGTCCACTCGCTATGTGGATGAAATTTTGAAACATCGTGCGTTGCCTATCCTCGATGAAATCAGCGACACTCCTATTCTAATGCACGATAATGCACGTCCACATGTCGCTCGCAAAGTACAAACGTACCTTCAACAGCATAACATCAAGGTCTTAGCCTGGCCAGCCGGTTC